GGAAAATGTAATCAATGTGTTGCTATTTAAACACAAAAACGCAAATAATTCCTATTACATATACTGTATGGACAATATTTCGTGAATACAAAAATTGAGGTAATTTAAACAAGAGCGTATTTGGTAACAATTTAATTGAATTCAGAGACGGACTTTCCGGTCCATTAAAATGACTATAAATACTTAATTGTGGGAACTTAAAACAAGTACGGATTGTTCAAATATACAATGATGTTAAATTCCCAGAATTTTCCAATTACGGCAAATTCCTTCCGTCCAATTACCGAAATCGAAGTCATTAAAAGTTAATCACGACGATGGAGAGAAGTTTGGTAATCTTCCTCTCGCCTTCGAATGCGCAATCAAAGGAAGGATTGGACCCACCATTTCCGACTGGGACCAAGTGGTGAGCCGACAAAGAAAATCCCGACGTTGGCATTTCTCTGTCGGCGGTGGAAACCAGAGCTTAGTGGCACACAAATCGATTTGCATGCGCCGCTTGCATTTCCGCTCTCACACACGCACACCCACACAATTGCATATACATTTGAAACTTAATTACAGTTTTAAATATCCCATCTAACCTGAAATTCGCGCAGAAAGCGACTACAGAGCCGCCCCACGCTCGTAAAATGGCCCGAAAATGCACTCGACTTAATTGCCTTTGGCCCACGACTTTGGGCTGTCCTCTTCTCCACACTCAGAAAAAAAACTATAGGAACTGCAAGCGATTTTGTCCTTATTAAATTTATATTTCACTTTATCCATACATCCTTACTTTGTTCTAGATATTATTCAAAAAATATTGAGCTGTGATAAACTCTAATTTTAAAGATTGTAAGAGAGCATACAGTTTCTATATTTTACGTTGATTTATACGGATCTGTTAATATTAATTAAATTTGTAGCACTCAATCAATATCCTTTCATTAAATATTTACCTTCGAATAAATTAATAAATTCCTTAATTTCCCCTGAATATTTTCTTTTTCGATATTTTTAATATTACCTAGACTTGACTTTACCTTCCAAAATTTTATAAAATACATATTAGTACATGATTGTTTGACGTGTAGCGGTATCCGTGATTCTGCCATCTTCAGTTTCAGTGAAGACTGCCGTTGGCGTTGGCCTTTATTGCCAGCCATTTTGAATACCATTTTGTGGTTTATTACTTTTGTGGCAGACCGATTCCAAGCAGCCAGCGAAATACACACACGGCCCAACCTTGGTGAAGTGAATGCACTTTCGATTGCCCCTCCATCCGGATTTCCCGCCGTCTGTATTTACGGGGCGGTTGGCGGGGGGCTGCCGGCGATTATGGCAGTTAGCGGGGCACTCAGATTATCCGCTTTTGACAGCCAGACCACCGTTCAGTTCAGTTCAGTTCAGTTCGGGAAGGAGCAGCGCAGAGCAGCTCACAGCAGCAGACCAATCCAATCCGACCCAGTGCTCGCTGCGAATTTAATTATTCATGCCACGAACCTACGGATAGCTGGCACCCAGCAGCCAGGTGTCCAGGTGAGCTTTAAAAATCAATTAACCTTGATTGTGGCCCGGGCTTAAAGTCCATTGTAACTTCGACATTTACAGAAGGTAGTGGGGGTATATTTGGTTTCAGGCTTCCGTGCACCGCTTTTTTTCTAATCAATATATAACAAAGATTTCTTTCTTATAAAGTAGGAAAACTGTGATTAAATCATCTCAGTTCTTAATGATGTTGGTCGTAAACATATCCAGATGAATTTATTTATTTATTATTTCAAGAAATCGAGTATTATAATTAATCATGTCAAAAGTAAATATACAATCAAGATGATTTAAGTTACTGATAATACTATATGGACTCACTGGAAATGTTAAAAGCAATAAAATAGAGGACAACTATATTTATTTTAATAAAAACTCTTGGTAATATTATATTATAAGCATTTTCAAACCATTCAACCTAATTTTAAACTGTATATATTTTTAATGAAATAATTTATGCCTTGCGCTAACACTTCCACCCGAGCTACTCATCAAGTGCAAGCCCAAGTGCAGTTAATTTAATTTACTGTTTATATATTTTTTATTGCTTCATTTCAGTTGATCCCAGCGTGAATCGCAGTCGCCAGGGAAACGGGAGTGCAGCACTCTTGTTTGCTTTTCGTATCGCTTCGGCCGTGGCCATTTCCTCCTGCCTTTTGTTTATTATGTAGGCTTTGCGGGGGGCGTGGGACTGCCAATGCCATTGATGGCCTGCAATATTGAACGTGACAGTTGGCCTGTCGACCCACAGAGCTTGGCTCTCGCTCCTCGTTACAGGTGGCTGTCATGGCAAATGTTAATTTTAATAATGGAAGGGCAGGCCGCCCGCCACCCGCCACCCGCCCCCTTTCCCCATATCGCTCACGATTCATAACAAATAAATGTATAAAAATCTTATGAAAATCGCATTTCAAGGGTCAAAGTCAGCAGAAACAAATCCCGGCCAGCCATCCGAGCCATAAAAATGAACCCTAAAACCCGAAATAGCCTAACCCGAAAAAACTGCCTGCTTGTTGGCCAGTCGAACAACAAAGCAAAAGTTAACATTATAATTTTTAATATTTTTGCTTTTAGCCTCCTGGGCAGGACATCGTTTTGTTAGTGGGGCCTTAGCTTTTGCCTTTGTATCTGGGTGTAAAGCTGTCAAATGCAGGGACGCCGCTAGACAGGACTTTGCACAGGGTATTCGTGGGCGTAGGTGTGTGCGAGCCTGTTTAGGTGAGGCTGCCAGCTGTGACGTGCCTTTGGAAATGTTGCAAAGCCCGGCCCGCAAAAAGGATGTACAACACTGAGGGAAAATGTCAGGCTTAACTTGTTAGTAAAACTCTGAATCTAAGAACAGCATGCTTTAAATCCTTAAAAAACTGTTTAGAGACTCGATGTTTATTGTAACTAAATGATTTATTTTCCTTGAAGCTGTTCCAAATTTTATTAGCTTGAAGTTTTTAAAAAATGACGGAAATTATGTATTTTAAATAAAATATTTTTAATATAAATATTGCTTATTTATATTTGCTTAGTAAATATATTCAAGTGTTAACACAGGAATTTTAATGTAGAATGGCCGATAAAAATATACCTAAAAAAATTTATTTTTATGAAAATAAAATTTATTTACTTCAGTATGGTATAGGCAAAATTAAAACCTTTCCCCTTTTGTTTTCTTTAGTGGCCCGATGGAAATTTCTCTTAGTGCAGTATTAGAACAGTGGAAAACCTTGGGGGATCCCGTTCTGTGTCCTATTTACCCCAGTTCTCTCTTTCCGCCCCTCACATGCTGCTTTCAATTTCGTCGCCTTTTCGGTTTTAGCTTTTGGTTTTGATTCTTTTCTAAGCCCCATTCTGCTGCCCCTCTGTGTGTCCTTCGATTTCACGCAGAGCTGGCAATTTTACGCCGCAGCCCAGGTCCTTTTTCCTCTGGTTTCTGGCTGTCTCCTGCGCAGCTGTTGCTGTTGTTCTTGTTTTCGCTCCTGTTATTTATTTCCTTAAATTTCATTCCTGTTTCTTGTTTTCCGTTCGTTTTTTGTGTGCACTGACTTGTCCTGGAAGGGAAATCGAATTCGAATCACTTTCGGATATTTTTGGTTATAAAGTCGGAAATTTTTGCGACATTATTGTTTTCCACATTTTTCTAGTTTTCCGTTTTTTTGTTGTTGTTGCTTGTTTTCGTTGGTCCAAACACTCACCTCCTTTTCTCATCTTTTCCTCTTTGTCTGGTCTGAAATTTATTGCTTCCAATTGAGTGCACGAAATGGCTGGAACAACAACATCAACAAGGATCAGAGTCCTGGGCGGCAGGACCCGTGAACAGTTCGCGCTCGCCCTTGAGATACACGTGCGTTGGTATACGTATACGTATATGTGTTCGTATTCGTATTCGTATCCATATCCATGTCGTTGTCTATGTCCTTATTCCCGAAAACCCCCGTCCTCCCGCTGGCAACATATTGAAAAGGAAGCACATGTAAGCAAAATTGACAAGGCTAAAGGATATCGATGTCTGCTTATAATGTGCAACATATTAAACCTAAGCACACGTTCGCCAGCGAGCTCTATAAATAACAGCAGCGGGGATTCGAGGACATCACCAGGGGTTGCGGGTGTGGGTGCGGATGGAGCTCCTCCCCCCCCTCACCCTCAATCAAAGTTGCCGCCAAAACAGTTTTCACTTTGGATGCCATTATTTTGCTGCCCCCGCTTTTCACCTCGGATGTCCTTTGACTCGGGCCCTGCGGCTAATATATGAGCCCATGTCGCCCTGTTTGGCCTGCCTGGCATGCCGTTGCTTTGTTTTGCTTTGACCCACTCCCGGAGCCATGTCCTGGCCACGAACTCCAGGACTAGGCTCATGCTACAGGTACACTTCGAGAAAATTATTTCCGGGCTTAAATAGTCACTATTTAGCTATCCCGAATACATTTATCTACAGATGACATAAGTCTATATGTCTTTATAGTTTTAATTTCAAATTTAGGAGTCTATTATGTTAAATTATATTAGCCCTATTTAAGTACAAACTGCAATAGCGAGTTGAATGATATTCATACTCATATAGCCAGTTATTTTAGCTATATCAAAATTAGTTGATTACTTTTTGTAAAGAGATTGACAATTTAGTTGCTTTATCTTCAACCTTTCGCTCACTGTATTCTCCACTCGAACCGACTCCAGTTGAGTTGATATTGATGATGTTATTAAAATAATAAATTATTTGAAAATTATGAACTGCTGCCATTTCTCATGAAGCTGTCGGGTCGAATGAGTGGAGGGAGTTGCCACTGGAGGGGCTTATAAATCAAAAGGTGGCCGGTACCGGGACCTCAGTTGGCCAGCCCCTAAAAGGGCGGAACTTCTGTCAACCGCACAGACACACGTTCACACACTCGAAATCTCAAAGAGACTATAAAATTAGCAAGTGCCTGCTAACCTGGATTCAAATTCGACTGCCTCGCAAGGGGGCACCTGCTTACCTGTAAAGTGGCTTGCCGGCGCTCTCACGGAACCACAGAACCATGTACACCCGATCGTCCTTCGCCTCCGGCTCGATGTCGCACGGCAAGGATGCGGTTCGTCCCAGGACGGCCTCCACGGCCACTGTGGAAACTGAAAGAGGGAGGGGAAAGGCAATTATGAGTGCACTGCGGTGAAACAATCATATATGTTTGGTCTAGAAAGAAATAATGGAGTGTGCTTAGACAAAATGAATTTCGTGCCTATTAACGTGAATGAAACTTCGCCAGAATGAGTTCTATCTTGGTAAACTGCAGTCTCTATTTCGTTCTTAAAATTGGAATACCCCTTAATTTTAAGAGATGAATAGAGATAATGTAATTTATAATAAAATTGTACTATACTTATTTTATGATTTGGGTAAAGAAAATGTAAATAGTCGATGGTAATTATTCGCTGTATTACGAAGCAACATTTTTCATAAAGCTTGAAGACACTATTTTAATTTATCTTTTAAGCAATTGATTAAGAATATCTTAATCATTTTGTTTATTTGATAAGGAGATTAGTTTACAGGGAGTAACAATTATAATCAATACCTCAGATTTAATTCATGTATAAAATAATAATTTTGTATCTATTAAAGATCTTTTAAAGTGAGGAAATTTTTATTATAAATTGGCAATACTTAAAGATCTTACTTAACTTTCGAAAGGTCGTCAAATAAACTTTGTCCAGCTAGTAACCCTCGAATCCTTTTTCCTTAGTGTATCATTACCGTTTCCAGCCAATGCAATTGAATGAAACGACAGGTGGGGTGGCACTTTTGAAATGTCATGACAAAACTATTGCCAAAGTCATTAACACAATATGAAAATGTCCTTTTTGCTCTGCGCCCGGGCTGAGCTTCTGGGGTGTTGCCACAATTACTTACGGACTCAACTCGACTTCTTCGTCGATTTCCTAGCAAATGTCAACAAAACGCTGCCTTTTAAGTGTCACGTTGAGACTGCCGTCCCACGAACGCGGAGCACGCAAGGCGGCAACCGCACGACAACCTCAAGCCACCCACCCGGCCCTCGGACCACCCAGATCCTTTCGCCACCCAGATCCTTTCACCACCCAACTCCTGCCACCACCCAGCTCCTTTCAACCGCAATAGCCGCTGACGTTCATCGTTGTACTCGCATAATCACAACCAAGTACGTGAGTGGGAATATTAATGCCAAATTGAAGCCAACGACAACGACAACGACGACGACGATGACGTCGACAATGGTGATGACGATGGCCGGTCTGCGATTTCACGGCGGCCTCATCTTTTGCATTTAAACTGCCAATTGATGTCGCTGAAAATAGATAAATGCTGAGGGCATCGTCGTCGCTTCCGGATGGCTAAAACTCATTCCCAATCCAATCTACTCCACCGATTCCCCCATCTCCCTTCCAATCGGGGAAAATGACAATGGATTAAAGTTGGCCGGCCGATTTCCCCGCTGTCACAGGCAAGTTAAAGCCCCTAATTGTCCTTTGGCGTGAGAAGGATCAAAGCGGGCGAAGGGGCTGGACGTGGCTGTTTAGTTTGCTGTGTCGTCACAAGTCGTAAATTAATAAGAGAAACATGAACTGTAAATGCATGCCCATCAATCAGCTGGATGAATAAAACATTAACAGCCATCAAAGAGTTGTAAATGAAGGGAGTAAATTGATAAAGAAAGGATGAAGTAGTGACTATTCTATAGAGTAAACTAGCCAATAGAAACCATATATTGTGTGAAGGTTTCCTATCGATATCAAAGTTAACGCAGTGACGCAGAATGACCGTTTATAGTAAGTAAACCCAAGTCATTGCGTAGAAAAACAGCTGATAAATAATAAAATATATTACTTCCCACAAAGGTAGTAATGAATGTCCTTTTACCTCAAATGACACTTCAAAACCCAATTTCGCTTGCAAACGTGAAAAAACCCTTGAAATAAGGAAGTCCAAATCCAAACGGTTCCTAAACTATGGTAAAAAACCCATGTGTTATTAATTTCTTAAATATGTGTGCACCTAATATGCCCTTAGAATTTAAATATCAATCGAATTCCCCACGCAAATCAAAAAAGAAGACATATTTGCCAACGATTGACGTTCGACAAACTCATACGAATCGATTTTGTTGCGGAAAATTGAAAATTCAATTGCTCACCTGTCCGGCTGTCAAAACCCAGAAACTCGAACACATCCATCATGAACCTATTTTACAGCCTGATGCTCATTAATACCCAAAAGGGAGCCTCACAATCGTGTTACGCGTAATTTCATTTCAGCAGCCACCAAACGAGTGAAAGGAATAAAAACACGGGGGCTGAAAGGTGGAAATTGCGGCAGGGGCATTGCTCAGCTTGCAGACGATGCCAAAAATTGTTGACATTTATTTAATATGCGCACGTTTTATAGAAAAGCAATTCCCAGCCGGATAATTTATGGCACACTACAGAAATTTGCACATGAAAACGCCGACCCAGAGCCACCCACCGAAAAAGACTCGCCCACGCTGGAAAACTGACAATCGGACGAACAGACAGATATACATCGTGTTCTATATATGTATATGTGTGTCGGGGTACGGCTACATCTGTATTGGTGAGTGGGCTGTCGCCGAACATGGTAGCAATTTTCGTGCGTTTGTAATTCCCATGTAAGATGTCAAATGCTCGACGAGCAGCCAGAGTTAGGCCCTCTATATCAGTTGGCAGAAGCTCCTGCACTGAGGAAAACACTTTTCCATTAGGCTAGCAGATCCTACTCAAGTTTAATTTAAGTTACTTAATTTTATTTTTTATTGTAGACTTTCTATTTTAAATATAAGCATCAAAATGTGTTTTTTAATTAGTTGAAGAAAACCCATCATAAAAGGGAAAATTAAACTAAAGAAGCACAAACCCTTACTTGTAAAATCAGCATCTCACCCAAATGGGTGTAAATTGAGAAAATATATTATGGACCTAAGCTGTATAAAATTATGTTGAAATGTAAATAAAGAAAACATGTATATTATAAAAAATAATTCCGAAGGTTGACTTTGAAAACTTTAGGAAAGAAGAAATACTGACACCATAACTAATTATCTTAAAATCAACGGGTAAGTTTAGTTTTCTTAAGTTTCTTAAGAACTGTAGTGAACGATTCCTGATTTCAAATTGAATTCTCTTGCTGTTAATATGCCAAAAAAACCGCTATTCATCGTAGAGCCCTTCGACTTAAACGTAATTTTTTTCAGTGTGCAGTCCTGTCCCTGTCGCTGTCTCGAAGTCCCAAAGGCGGGCGGGCTGTTGCAGCAAATTGACATAATTTGTGATATGCGCCTCCGTCGCCGCCTCCGCCATCTCGACGGCGAGTCCTTCCACCGCCTCTTATCCTTCTCCTCCTCCTCCTCAGTCTCCCTTTCCATCTCCATCATCATCCTGCCGCTCGTCAGCGTCAGCGTCGCGCAAGCGTAAGTGTGTAATGAGTGATTTGCCCGTGGGGCCCACTTGGGAATCGAGGATGGGATGGCCGGGGGAGCTGGAGCAGCAGTAGCTCCTCCCATCCAGAGACCACGGAATCAGCAGCCGAAACCAACTGCCTGGATTTTGGACAAAGTGGCGCGTGCTGCGGCTTAGGTGGCAAGCTGCCTCTGAGGTCACCGGATTGGGCTGCCACAAGCGGCAACAGTTCAGCTCGGATAGACAAATGTCACTCCACTCACTCGCGCGTGTGTGCCGTCGGGTAAATATGTGTGCGGGGTCGTGCATGCCGGAAAATAGGTCAATTTGGGATTATTAGTGCAAATCGAAGGCGAGACTACTTTTAGAAAATTGATTTCAGAGACTGTGAACACTATAATCCGTTCGTGGCTTTCAAGATAAGGTTGCACTTTGCACTATCTTGCTTTGTTTATCAACTGAAATTAATTTGCTTAAGCAAGTGGCTCTTGACAATAATTGACTTATTGCATAGTGATTATTCAAGTGGCATTTAAATATAAAATATATTTGGTAATTTAATATTTTTAAAACAAAACAAGAGAGAACGCTATAGTCGGGTGCCCCGACTACCAGATACCCGTTACTCAGGTAATGGGAGTGCGAGGGAGATGGAGATAGAAACTTTGATCACGCATAACTGTTTAACGAATGGTCCGATTTGAAAAATTTCTTCTACATTTCGATAGGTATTGATAAACACAATAAAACTGCATTTTTACTTTTCCGAAATATTTAAATTTTTAAAATCGTATATAAGCGATTGTGGGCGTTAAAGGGGGCGTGGCACCTTTTTGAAACAAACTTGCGCTGCGTAGGAACTCCTAGAATCTGCATGCAAAATGCCAATCTTCAAGCTTTTATAGTTTCCGAGATCTCAGCGTTCATACGGACGGACAGACAGACAGACGGACAGACAGACGGACATGGCTATATCGACTCGGCTAGTGACCCTGATCAAGAATATATATACTTTATAGGGTCGGAAACGCTTCCTTCTAGCTGTTACATACTTTTGCACGAATACAATATACCCTTTTACTCTACGAGTAACGGGTATAAATATTGGCTTCAGTATAAATTCTAGAATATCACGTTATAGTTAAATGAAAAATATAGAGAATATCACTGTTAAAATCAATGTATTCTGCCAAGAACTTTGATCCACAGTAAAGTGTCAACTTAATTTAATGCTTATAAGGAATTCTGTGTAAATTTTTTGGAATGCTAGGAATCTCAATTTGCATTTTATATTCTCCCCGTTAATTTGAATATTAAGTAACCGAACCAAATTTAAAATTAGTTTTTCAGTGTTTAGTTCTGCCATTTGAATCAATACCCCTCTATTTTAGACCTTTGTCTGATGTCAATAAAAGCTGATATTCAAGCATGTAACCTTTACCTACATTAACGACATATCACACACTTGCTCAAGGGAAGCACCAAAGCAAACATTTTAACAAGGGAATGAGAATTTCCTGCCGATTTCCGTTGGTTCCTATATGCTACGGTAACGTTTTTCCTGCGTTACACAGTGTCATTTCACTTTTTATGCTGGCTAAAGTAGAAAACAAACACAAATTTCATTTGGCTGCACTCCCCGCTCCCCTCATTCGTCCTTTTTATATTTTTTCTGCAAT